TATAAATGTCTTTTTTCTATCCCAAATTTAACAACCCAGTATTGAACAAAGTTCTTTACAATAGGATCAACACAAAGAAAATGCATTGAAAGACGAAAAGTTTAAAACTTTGTTTTCTGTTTCTTAACCCAAATATAATATAAAGTCTTATTAAAAAATAAGGGCTTCATGGCTTCATGTGCTTTCAGGGGTTTTTATATTTCTAATTATGAGGCTGTTTGGTTGTTTCAATTATCTTTGTTTCTAGTATGATTATTATATACAATGATATCTAAAGAATATTTAAAATTATTCTACCGGTAGTTTGAAGTTGCCCCAAATTGTCTGAATGAAATTTGCATTTTCAGAGCTTTAGGTGTAATATTTTTTTTTTTTTTTCATGCCTTAATTTTAAAGTTAATTTGTTTTTGTCTTATTTAAAAGTGTCAGTATTGGAACATGATGTTCTAAAAAGCTGAATGGCTGGCTCTCCCAAATCGATGTATATCCAAAAGGAGAGAGGACATTGTTTCGTTACTCTTAATATAATTAATATAATTAAACTCTTATATAATTAAATTGAGTTAATTATGAAAAATAAAATAATTAACTCTTTCTCTTTTAGCAATTCTTATGATTCTTTTTAAATCAGGGAGACGGAAGTAAGGTTATTGCCTAAACATTAACAAAATGAGGATTGTATTCCCCTGTTATATCTGAATTTATTCCTTGGAAAAATTAAACCAAAGATATATTATAAATTCAAGGGTGAGATCTAATATATTATAAATTCAAGGGTGAGATCCTAACCAAGATTTTTGGACCGAGAATAAGAAATTCCTCTTATTTTTGCATAGTTTTATCATAGTCTGTGATTATAATGAGAATCATAAAAATCTAATGTTTATTTCAACCCTATTTAACAAGCTGAGAGTCTTTCCCAGACCATCTCTACTAATTCCCAAATTGGGCACTGAATTATTTATAAAACATTCAACAATGTTTACGGTTAACAGAAGATACAAAGTGCCCATCATGCTCTTTAAAGAATTCAAATATGTGAGTTTCAGTTGGATAAGCTATAAACCTGAATATTTCTGGATGCATTTATTTCCTGTGACAACAAAAGTCCCTTCCACTCCCATGCACGCATCCCTCCTTCACTGTTTTCATCTTCTCTGCGATTCAGCTCCTCTCAGCAGGAGAGTAATAATGGACACCCACTCCATTAGGAGCCTGTTACCTTTTCACTCTCTGTCATCTATTTATTCTGCTGCTTTTCACTACCCCCGACTCTGTTTACGCTGTTTTCTCTCCATTTTCATGTCAGATGCCCTGCTCCAGTCCACCACTCTGCAGGCAGGCCCTCTTTGCCCTAAATTGGATGACAGATTAAAGGATCTAAGCCTATTCAATGTTTGCTGCTGCTGTATATCTCACAGTCTCCCTTTTTCTGTGTAGCATGCCATCTTACAAACTTTATAAGGACTTTATGCATATCGAATCCAGAGATAAATCCAGATTAACCGAGTCGGCGTTGTCTCATCTTCTAATTATGAGATCCGATTCAGTTTTGCTGCTTATTCATGCTGATGTGCGGCTCTGATTTTCAGTATTCAGTGGGGAAATTACAAATTCTACATTTTAATTTATTAATAATATTGTGGTTATTTGTTTTTCTCCATCATCCTTCAAGTTGTTCCTAAATCATTAATTGGAGAAAAAAGGCCATGATGAAGAAAGAAAACATTAGTTCATAGTTATTATATTTTATCTACCTTATGAAGAAACAGGACTATTTCTGTTTGTTTTATTAGATCCGTTATTTCCATTGGGCTGCCATCTACTGGACAGTTGAGAAACTGCACTCTTTAAAAACATTTTTTGAAACTGGGAAACAGAACCACATGAGGCACTTTTAATACATTATTTTACAAAATGATTTTTATCAGCTTAGAGCAGATTAGTTTATTTAGACTGAAATGAAAGAGAATAGTGTTTAAAGTTCGGTTGAAATTGTGTGATACATTTTGGTGATGCAACATTTTGCAACTAAAAAGTATCTTATAAATCCTTTAACAGTTTTAGTACTGAAGAAATGATGTCTGACAGCTGACTGCATCAAACATTCTTTATTTTAAGAACCATAACTGGTCATTTTTGCATTTTACTAACCAGTCTTTATTTTTTAAATATTTTTTTTATTGCATTAAAACTTCGGGGGGTCGGGGGGGTTATTGTTATTTTTTCCATGCATAGTAACAATCTGGGATTTTTTTGTTTTTGTTGAAATGATGTCTGACAGCTGACTGCATCAAACATTCTCAATTTATTTTAAGAACCATAACTGGTAATTTTTGCGTTTTACTAACTAGTTTTTAATTTTAATTTTTTTTTTTTTTTATTGCATTAAATTTTCGGGGGGTTATTGTTATTTTTTTCCACGCATAGTAACAATCTGGGATTTTTTTTTGTTTTTGTTTTGTGCATCTCTTTAGTTTGAACAAATTTTATGATTTAATTGTAATAATTAAATATTCGATTATCCAAAGTTAAATATAGATATTTTTATTCAAAAATCTAACATTTTCTTTAAGGGGAGCTTTTTGCAAAAGATATATCTACAGCTTTTCAGAAAGTTTTTCCTTCTTGCTGTTTCTTCATTCCATTTACAATACTTTAAATTTGATACAGCATATATTTCCTCCAACATAGTATAAAGCAAATATGTGACACAGCTTTCTGTTCAAACTAAAACAACAAACAAAACAATAAATTTAAATATTTTCTAAGTCAGTAAGGGAAATTATGCAGAACTTATGAGGGTCAATTAGAAAAGTCTGCAGTATTGTAAGCAAAAACAAACACAACGTAAAAACAGTACGAAGAAGGAAACGACTACAGAAGGGAAAAAATGCAGGTTTGTAATATAACTATCATCAAACAACACTAATTTTCTTTCATTCTAGCAGATTCTGTGTAACATCTATCATTGTGTGACTGATCCTTACTACTTATTACTCTGTGACTTATTTCCCTCATGCATTTGTCAGACATTGCAATCATCAAAAATTTGAATTTGGGATTAATTTAATAACTATTGATGTAAAAAAGAACTTTTGCAATGATTATAATGCTGATTATACAATATGAATTTGGTTAAAAATGAAATAATTTAAGGCTTTTACAGGAATTTAGGGGGAAAGAATATGGTCTTATTAAATATTTGAAGTCTGTAAAGAAGTGTATTCTATCATGAGCTTAATACTTGGACTACATGAACTGTTTTCAGCTTATCAAACAATTATTAGCCTAATTGTCTGTCATTTTAATACATTTCTCTAATTTCTATGAAAGAGACTAGCAGAAATGTTATGAAAGTGGTAAAAGGAATATAAATTGACAGGACTTGTCAATATAAAATCCTTTTTCATCTCTCTGTGCGTCTGTGGAAATTGCAGAGGACCTTGTTACATTCTTCTCCTGCCCATAGTTTAGTCTCATTAGGCTTTCAATGAATGTGCAAATTAACTGCTGCACCTTGTCCCTCCATAATGGCTTGTTTGAAGCCAAAAAATGAAAAATAAAAGGCTATTATTTCATAATTTGAAAAGATCTTTGTTCCCGTCTTTAAGTCTCTGGGCCCCCTCTTAAGTTTAATTATGGTTACAGTTTGGAAAACATAAACAAATTGGATAGATAAATGAAAGCGATAGGTGGCTTGCAGTTTTCAGGAGGACACTCTGCATGATTGCTGGAGAGTGGGTGAGGACGGACGAAGCAGAGCAATTGGCTTCCACTCGAGATGCCGTTCGGACAGATGACAATGAGGCTCTTGAGAGGAGAAGGTTAACTGACTGATGCAACACATGAGGCTGAGAGCCACCATTTGTAACCTCAGACAGAGCTGATGATCTCTTGTAGCATCTATTTTATTCAGATTTTGCTCCTTGTAGTTCTTAGTTTTTATTGATTTTTGGGAACCATTCTGAATGACAAACACTGATTCACATTCGCAAATAATCACCCCTCCTGATCAATCAAATCAGACCAGCAACCTATTTCATAGACTCTTAGCATTAGCTCCACTTGTGCATAATGCTAATGCCACATTACCATGTAATTATGCTATCTTCCAGTGATCTCTATACTTATTTTTTGTTGCAGAGTAAGATAGGATGCCTAATATTTACTAATTTCCTTTTCTTCTGATGGTGTTTTTATATTTTTGATTAATGTCTCATAATGAAAAGATATCCTCCTGGTTCTAAAGCACAGCTAGGCACTACAAAAGTTGGAAAATAAACAGTTTTTAAAGTGGTTCGCCAATAAACCTGTGCTTTAAAAGGCTTGAGATGATTATCTTTTTAAAAATAATGTTGCAGCATTTATCAAACTTATATAAAAACACAGAGTTAGAGGTGGAGATTTAATCACTTTTAAGATATGATTATTGAACAGTAGTGGTCAATATTAGTAATGAATAAAACCACATTAATAGTGGAGGATTTTTGCACCTTTAAAAAAAATGCAAAACTAGGGAACACCTATTTAATGTGTGCAAGAGCGTGCATAAGCCCATTTTTCCTTGTGCACGCTCTGTTTAAAAGTCGCTGTTTGCATCGCATTATACAAACCCTACTTTCCAAAAGAATATTTGCAATTTTTCTACTATGTCAGACTCGCCGGCGGTAAGTGAAAATGGGGACGAGCACGTTGGACGGCCTTACCTACACATATCACCAGAATGATAATTAGGAGGATCACTTATACTGATCATCCACCCAGAAAAAGAACATCTTCCACTTTACCTTTAAGTTCATATATAGCCATATAGTGAGCCAGAACTGTTTGGATGGATGGACAGAGGTTTATATAAGTTCCAACTCTGCTGAACGTTGGATGTGATTTCTGCTTCTGATACAGTTTTAAATAGCAGGTTATAAAAGGTTAAAGTCTTAAATTCCGTTCACTATTTTCCCCTTCACACCTAAAATGTTCCTGTTTCTCTTCTTTTCTAGATCCATACGTGAAGATCCACCTCATGCAAAACGGAAAGAGGCTGAAGAAGAAGAAAACGACAATCAAGAAGAACACCCTCAACCCTTACTACAACGAGTCCTTTAGCTTTGAGGTCCCATTTGAACAAATCCAGGTGAGTCTCCTGCCTCATCCACCATAACATTCAGTCCTGTAATTGGCAACAAGTTAAAAAAACAAATTGTTTTGAGTTAGCTTTGATCAATTCAAGCTCATTTGCCAAATAATCATCTTAACGTCTATTTCATCGTAACAGTTTAATCAAAGGCAATTCTGTTTAAATCGGCCTCAGTTCTGCAATTAGACAAGCCAATTGCTGAATGGTTGTTATTCTCTTCACTCTTATTGCCTGTGGCATTTATCTCATTTATCTGTTTGTAGCATTTCTTACAGTGCAATGATCACCAACCTATCATCATTAAGCTGATTTTAATCAAGTGTTATAGTGGCGCCGATGGTCTATGACAGCGTCTGCGGTTCAGGAGGGAGAAAAGATGGAGTCTTTATTAAAAATGGATAAATTCATTGACTCGGAAACTATGAAAAAGAAAAACAAATAAGATTATCTTCTCAGGTAGGGGTGGTAATTGAGTGAAATTAATTAAACTTGTCAGCGCTCACCAATCATGGGTCTGATACCCCACAATCAGTTTAATCAGATCTGATCCCAGTCAACCCTCTAATAAATACTCAGACCTGTATGCTGGGTACCTGTTTGAGCTCCTCACTGAGCAGGAGTTGATTGAATCATTGGTTGACTGTATTGAACCCTTTGTGGGACAGCTATAAACAGACTTTAAAGACCTAATTTGACTTGGATGAATCAAACACTGAACTTGTAAATGGAAAAACCAATGAAGTGCTTTAACATTCTCTCTGTCTTTATTGGTTGTTGAACACATGAGCTCTACTGACTTTAATTACAAACCTGCTCCCACATATTATTGATGTTTTTTGGGGGAAAACTGTTTAAATTCTTAATTGATTTCGCTCTATTTGCTTTAGATTGTTTATTTTTCCATTAAGTTACACAAGATGCTTGATTTAAAAAAAAAAAAAGCATAGGCTTGAACTGCGTTCTATTTAAACACTTTAAAAGGAAAAAGTTACTTCTTTTTTTTGTTAACCTAACATTTAATGGATTAATATTTATTATTAGCTTGACTGGATGCTGAAAGGCATTTGTTGATATCTTCAACAAAGGCGTCTCATTGGTAATACTGACATCTAAAGATGCATTTCCTCCCCTTAAGGATTTGTTCTGTTATTTATTTTTGCAATTAAGTATTTATTATTATCAATAAAATCTAATATCAGAGGCACAGCCTGATCAACCTGTGTCAGAATCCTCACTTTAGTTTTTTGTTTGTTATTTTGCTTTTATCTTTAAACCGAAGTTTCTTTCCACACTTGTCACACAGTAATGAGCTATCGCTCACCATTTGCATATAAAGCACAGTTTAGTTTCACACAGTGAAAAGGCCTGCAAAGGACTAGATCAGAATAAATGAATAGTTCCAACAGAAGAATGCAGCTTGAAAAAACAAAAAATCTGAGAGGGTTTGGATTAAATCATCAAACATAAACCTCCCAGCACAAGAGATTATCAAGAGATTATTAAATTCAACAAATAGAGTCTTAGTGCTAAGACTTTTCTGCCAGAATTGGTCACCATTTGGTTTTCATTATGGTAAAAAAAAAAGTTTTATTTTGCTTATATTTATAAATAAGTGCACACTTTAAACGAATAGACCGATTATAGAACCAGTCCAGAGCCTCCAACCTCCTTATATTTCCGGTTTAATAAAAATGTTCATTTTTATTTTTCTCATTTCTTAGATTATGCTAATTTTGATAACCTTGCAAGTCATATTGTTGGCATGTAGCACTTTGGCTTATTTCTACACGTTATCAATCAGAGCTTGCTCCCATCTAATCTGTTTGGGGAAAAGAGGAACATTCACCAAAACGTTCAGAGTGGATTTGGGCAAAGCAACGCCTAGCAGAACATAACTGATCATCTTTGCCTTTGAAAAATGCACAAAGCACTTGAAGCTGTTCCTCTTTCAAGTATGAAACTGTAGATTCTGACCAAACACATGTGACAGCATCCTCCTCTACTGCCATGTGTTCTTTTTGCCATTTTTTACTTTCATCACAATGTTATTGGCTGACCCAGTTTGGGTCAGTTCGCAAATGTTGGATTCGTGGATTCGTCCGTGTTTGTGACCGTTCAAATACTGTGAGATTTCAGCCTGCAGGCAAGATTTATTTAAGGCATATTTGGATAACATTATTTGACTTATTGAAACCATTATACTTTTCATCATTATTTAACCTTTAACATGAAGCTTTGAGTTTGTAAATGTGTTTTTATTCTGTTTTCTAACTAACTAGTCCTGTTAAAGTGGAATGTATTTTATAATTAATATTTTACTTATTCTAAACACAATTTCTTTCCCTCTCATAAGGGAAAACACTTGTATATCCTTGTTCCTTGATAGAAAGATCATAGAGCCAATAGCTTGTTTTATTTTAGATTTCTCCTGTATGAAATGAAGTGTTAAAAATCGTGCTAAGCTGTTTATCTGCCTGTTTTCCATATTAACAAATCACAGTATGTGCTGGTTCAGTATCAAAGGAGGCCTAATTTCAATAAGCAAACTGCAGGTGAACTGCAACTTTAAAGATGAGCTAACCCCAGCCGGCCTTCAGGGAGCCTTATTCAGTGTTTCATTACATGCTGTATTAGCCACAGTCTTTTAAAGCAGCGGCTCGGCGCACACACACCGGTGGCTGTGGCTCCGTCTCAGTGTGGCGACGGATCGAAACGTAATCAGGCCGCCTCATGCACTAATTCATATTGCGAGTCGTGAATTGACGCCTCTTTGCAGCTTGACTTTGAATAACACAGTCGGTCTGAGGGCTGGAGTGTGAGGAATCAAACAATCTCTTAATCAACACAAATCTGATTTATGAATTATTCCTCACTAAACTAATTTATCTTTATACCAAAAACTTCAAAATATGCTGCTCAGACCATTTAGCATCAAGTAGCAGTCAATAAACCCCTTAGCTCCTCTCAAAGTTTTTGGTTTCTGTAGATGAAACATTAGAGGGAGCACAAGCAGCACCTGAGGGGAAATAGATGTCACACACAAACCCGTCTGATGGGCGGCAGGTGGTAATATAGGTGCAGTAATTTTGCTTATAAGGGATTGATTTTTACTGTAATATAAAAAGTTTAAGTCTTTAATTTTTTGGATAGGGAAGCAAAAGCAAAAAAAAAAAAAGGTTTTTGTAACAAAAATACATAAACAAAATGAGCAAAGTGGGAAGCTAGAGAGCTCTACAATGGTCAAACCACTCTATATTCTAAGCAGATGAATATTAAAGAAGTTTTTGTCACTTTTACCGCCTTACATTTACAGTTTTATTGCTAAAATAACTAAGAATATTCTAGAGTAAACATAAATGTTCTGTTTTGGAAAAGTGACAAAGGGCAGATTATCATGCACAGAGTCGGCCTGAGGTAGAAGCAAACTCAGCTGCTGCTTAGTTTAACAAGGCCACCAGGGGGCCTCAGTAGCACCTGAATTATAGATCTTACAAGCTTCATATTTGTGCAGATTTGAAAATGTTATTTAGAGCTACTTTGTTTATTTTATTCTGAATTTTATAAGAAAGACCAAGACAATTTTTTGCGTTATTCAATGGAAAGAAATTAGTTCTTTTCAAATTTCTTACCAAAATCTGAAAAATTTGGTATTTTCATCACAGCCCCTTTTACTCTTATTCTCCAAAATCAAAATATGGTGCAACCAAAATGACATTAGCTGTAAGCTAATCAGTAAAATTGGCTCACCTTTGTTAGTTTAGTGTATATATTCAGCTGTTCACAGGTCATTTATGCAGTTGTGGAGAAGTTTAAATCAGATTTGAGTCATCTAAGAGACCAGCATCCTATAGAGCAGAGGTCATGGATTAGCGGACTGCCTTCCAGCTCTAGACCCACCTGCTGGCTAAATTACCGCACGTCGTCCGACAGCAGTGTCAAATTTTACTTGCGCCGCTTCTCCTGTTTGTACGGTAAAGCCCTCCAGAACCAGGCTACACATGATGCATATTATCCAATGAGCTGTCAGTCTGGGTTGCTGCTGCTGCTACTTTTAGACACAGCAGGCAAACCTGCGGAAAGCCGGGCGATGGGAAAGAAGGAGAAGTCGATGAAAAAAGGAGAGCAGAGAAAGTGTGGACTGCTGGAAGAACTGAGGTGAACTGGTGAAAGAAAAGTGAAATGGCGTGCTCAAAGATGACCCTGCACATTTTTACTATGTTTGGCTCAACCTACTGCTGTTAAGCAGGATTCTCCACCATGAACATATTCAAAAATAAATATTGATCCAGGCTCACAAATGAGCACCTTGATATGTGCTTGAGAATGGCTTTGTCTCCTTTCAAATCTAGGTTTAAAGCCTTTCAGGTCAATAAAAAACAGCAATAAAAAAACAAAGGAAAAAAAAAACGGTTAGTTCAGGTGTTTTATAGAATATATGAATCAGGAAATTGTCTATATACAAAACTGAATGATTGTTGTTCTCTAGTTCAAAAAAAACTTTAGATTTTTAAAATGGAAAAATGTGTTTCTTTTTTATATAAAAAACTAATTTTATTTCAGTTTTACATTCTATTTAAAGTAACGGATTATAATAAAAAATATCTTCAGACCTTTACTGGTTGATGATTTTTTTATTCTGACCCCACTGATTTTTAATTGGTTAATGCTGATATAGAGCAATGTTCCCTCCGTCATCTGAAAATGAAAATTTGTCGAGAACTCGAAAAGCAGCCAAGTGACCCATGGCAACTCAGTAGGAGGATGAAGAATGAGAGAAAACGTTTTAGAGCCAGAGAACTCAAACTTATAACTAAAGCATGAATGGAATGATGCTCCTTCCACTCTGAAATTACTGGAATTAGCAAAAAGTACAGTTGAGATTCACAGATGTTGTAGAGAGACACCACAATATTTTTAACTGTAATCATACAAGTAGATGGCTGAAAATAAATGCACGCCACATTTTTTAGATGTTTATATGTAGAGGATGTGGAAACCGTGTATGTTTTTTCCTCTTTGCAGTTTGGCTTTGTGCTGATATTCCTCACAAGCCCTCAATAATATTTTCAG